GCAGCATGTCTTTCAGATGGGAAACTCTAGAAACAGTAGCACACAGTTGGTGCTAATTACAGAATCACAGATTGTTTAAGGTTGGAAGGGACCTCTAGAGATCATCTAGTCCAACCTTCCTGCTCCAGCAGGGACACCTAAAGTATGTATTGGCAGAGCAGAGCATAATTGGCTCTTATCTTGCCAGCTGGGTCCCTGTGTTGTATTTGGTGAATCTCCCGTGTATTACAGTGCAGATCTGTCTGTTTCTTTGGAGTATCTTTTGCATTCACTGAAAGCAATGTTACTTATCCTGTGTTTGGCTGCAAAGTCTGTCTTAACCCTCCATATTAAGAGACATTTTGCACGTGTGTTTTTTGAAAACCGATGTTTCCAAATCTTGGAATAGGGGTTATGTTTTCCTAAGTGAGTTTGAATTGCATTGCTTCTGTCTTGAAGGGCTTCTCATGTCCTTAGCCCTTTTTGGCATAGCATGTGATGGACTGAGCCCAAAGTTTGCTTTTCACTAATTCAAGCTGTTTCCTTCTCAGTGTTAATCAAACCCTTCCATTTTGGCTAATATGGCTGGTGCATGTTGGTCTTATCTCTGTCCTGCAAATTTTCAGTGGTCCTTTATCCATTGACTGAGGTGTTCGGGAATATGTTGCTCTAATCATTATGTAGTTGAATAAAAAAGATGTAACTAGTTATACAAGGAAGTGGAAAAGCTTTTTATTTGCAGCAGTCCTGGAGTAGATAGTGAGAACAATTAAGCCTTCTAGTAATGTTTCACTGCATAATCTGTAATATATATATATATTTTAATAATATGTGGCTATTCTGATAGTTTTTAGATTTTTTTTTTTGCATTGTCAGTTTTCCTGATGTTCTCATCAATATACCCATCTGTAATAAAAAGAAAATGGAGATGATTACATGGTCTCCTCTTGAATCCAAAGGAGATTTGATAGAGTTATTAAGCACACAGACCTCATCAATGACCAAAGAAATTCCCTGTGCTGCAAAATGGAGGCTGAGAACAGTGAGGACAAGTGTTGTGGCATGTTTGTGGTGTTCTGATTTTTCTTTCCAAAAGGATCACAATCAAATGTGTAGAAAACAGGATGCTGGGCTGGCTGGCTGGAATCCTGTTCTTGTGACTATGGTAGGGCTTTGGCACTAGTAGATGGAAAAAAATATCCACACTGCTCTTCCTTTAGAAGCAGGTCAGAGACCCAATTTGAACTGCAGTTGTGAAAGTTTGTTTTGTTTTTGCAGGTGTGCTGAAGTCTCTGCTATCTTCACTCATATTAAAAAGAATATTGTATTTTATAAAAGCTATTTGCTAACGCTATTTACCTGTTGCTTGTGGAGTGCAGTTTACTTTCTTATGGATAGTGACTTTGGGCTTCTGAAGCAAAAACAGTGAATGCAAACTTTGGAGCATCTCAAATCATGCTAGGGAGATATCTGGCAGGCCTTTAATTAGTATTATGAAGAGTCACATAAAGTAAGGTGAAGATTAAATATGATCAACACAGCTTTCATTTCTGGCTCTACCCTCTGTTTGGTCCTTCTAGTTGTCATTCTGAGAAAACCTCAGCCAGGTTATATTTACTTGCTGTGACTTTCCCCAGACATCTTTTAAGCTGAATAGTTGAGCTCATTTCCAAAGATTAGTGTTTTGCTGTGCACCAAATATTTGTGGTGGTGGAGAAATCAGCTAGCTTTGAATTTATAGGACACATGGGGCAGATAATGCTCAGAGTGCTGCAGAGGGATCTGCTTCAGATGACCTTGGGTCAATGGGTGACACTTGGGAATTCAAGCCACTTCTTGAATACTTGGCAGTACTGGGCTGATATACTAGACCATAATTTGCCTTTTTCCTCTCCTTGCAGCTTGCTTCCTGAAAGGGATGTTTGGGCATCCCATATGGAGTGGCCCAGGACTTCTCTGGACTGTTCTGAATTTGGGGCTAGTGTCTTACCTAGCCCTGAATCTCTGCCAAATACGTTTTCGCTGAAACAATCCCTCTAATTACAGGCTATTCTTGATGTTGATTTGAAAAGTGAACTCTGGATAATAGTGAACTCCGGACTTTCTTGCATTTCTTTTTGCCTTTTGGGGGTTCAATTTAGTGTATGTTAATTATGGATCTTGGATAATGGTTTTGACTAACTCCCAGGAGTCTGCTCCAGTCTTTGACCACCCTCAGTGTGTTGTGTGAGGGTTTGTTTTGTTTTATTTTTTGGGGGGGAGGAAGTTTTTGCTGTTTTGTTTTGCTTGCTTAAGTGCAGTTTATTGCATTACAATTTGTGCCTCTAGCCTTTTACCCCATCACTGGATATCTGGCAAGAGTCAAGCTCAGGTATTTACACCCTTTAAGACTCTCCTGAGCCTCCTCTTCTCTAGGCTAAACAGATTCAGCTCTCCCAGCCTCTCACCAGTTTTTAGATGCTCTAGTCTCTAAATCATCTTTGTGACTCTTCCTGGGCCTCTAGTTCCAGTGTGTCTATGTTTCTCTTGTGCTCAGAAGTTCCTCTCTACCCATCTCTGCAGCCTGTTGAGATGTCTGAGCACCAGCCCGGTTCTCTGCTGTATCAGGTGCTCCTGCCAGGTTTGTGCTGCCTGCAAACTTGCTGCCTGCAAACTTGCCTCGATCCCTTCACGAAGCTCAGTTAGTTACCGGAATGCTTGTGTGCTCCTAGCTGTTAGCCCTTGCCATGCACCTGAGGTGGCAAGAGCTATTACACTTTGTCTGCTGGAAAAGAATAGCTTTGTTTTGCGCTACAAGAATAAAAACCTGCTAATATATTTAAAATATATTTAAAATATGCTAAAAAAGCATCCTATCTATCACTCTACTCTAGAGCGAATAATGTATTTTTGGTTGTGCTCTTGGTGGCTTGCTTGTTCATAGCGTGAATGTAGATACTCTGATACCAGCAGGGGAGCTATGGAGCTGCAGGATGCAGTCGCTGTGGGAGAGCAGAGCCTAGGCCACAGATGCCCACCTGGCAACTGCGCTGTCTTTTGGCATTGCTGACTTCCTTTTCCCCCCAAGATTTTTTCTTGCCTTAGAGGAAATCCTGTTTATTTGCTTTGAGGAAATCACTCTTCTTTCATACTCCCCTTTCCCCTTTCATTTTCCCATGATTTGTTTTTTGTTGTTACAATGCCGTGTATGTGCCAGCAGTCCTTGGGTGCTTGGTTTTTGCCTCTGCCCTTGCAGCTCTTCATATGTGAGTGGTTGCTGGCGGTTTCAGTACTGTGAAAACTTCTTCCTCACTGTTCCTCACAGCAGCTCCAGTTGGCTGCTGTCACAAACGTTCCCATTTCTGACTTTTTCTGGAGCACTTGCATTTTGCATCTATTCCTGCTCTCTTCTGATCTGCCTTTCTTATAGCACGTCTCTAGTTGCCTTAGCTGGAAGGCTGTTTTCGGGTGATCTTTCCTATAAAGACCACAGCCCATTACTCCAACTCATATCACAGCATGAGAGCAGTCGAAGTGATATTCTAGAGGCATGACTCCTTGGGTTTGTTTAACTTGTTAAAGCAATATAAAAAACAGTTAGTGAATCACAGAATGTGCCCTTTTTTCCTCTCCACCCCACCCAACTACTGGCCTTAACCATTTATTTTGTACTTCCTTATGGCCTCTTTAATATCCTTTCACTTCACCCTCATTTCTCAAACCTGAGCACATTAACTTAAGCAACTTTTTGTGGAGAACAATTCTCTAGGGTTGGCTGACGGATTAAGTGGCAATACCTTGGTTGTGAAGCAACCTACGTTTGCACATTCTCCAGTCGTTTCCCATTAAAACCTAAATCCTTGCTCTGCTGTGGCACCTTTAAAAAGCAGACCTCCTCCTCACATGTAAATGTTATGAAAACCAGGCACACTGTAACCCAGAACCCCAAGGAATGCCTGATTGAAATAACAGATCAGAAAAGTCTCTTGCTAGCATTCCTGTGATTATAGGTTTACTCAAGTGACAGAAACATGGTGTCAGCTCGCTTTCTGCATACCGGCTAATTTTGGTTTAAGAAGGAGCAGAGCTTTTAAAGGCTTCACAGAGCACTGGAGATGTTAACAGTGGTGGTTGTGGGGTTGGATAACTTCTCAAAATGTGGTGGTATTCATTGCCTTTCCTCCCTCTCAAATTATCACATGTATTGCTGGTTGATGGGGTTAGTACTGTGGAATAGAGTGTATCCCTCCTGGTAGTTACTGAGGTAGAGTAGTGTGAGTGAAAGGAAGGGAGTCATTCCCAGCTCCTCTGCTGCAAGCAAGCAGATGGCTTTTGTTTCATCCCTCAACTCTCCTGAAGCACCTATTGGAGTTGGGCTTTCTTTGTACTTATATTTCCTCTCTTGCTGGTTGTAGGGGTCTGACTCACAGGAGATAGGTGTGGGACACAAAGAAGGCAAATAAACCGTCTATTGTTCTGATTTCCAATTAAAAAATGACAAAGGCTAATAAAGCATGTTAAATTCAGGATGGTACGTTGCTACAATTAGTGCTATGGTGGAGGAAGAAACAGCACTTACATTGCATATGACCCACTCACTTGAACATGTATCACGAGACAGAAATGCCAGCTTCTTTAAAGCATTTGTCTTGAATTAACCCTTCATACTGATAATGGTCAGTGTTTCTTTCTCCTGATTTGAGAGTAGGGTATTTAAAGGAAAAATTTGGTTATGAAAGTTTTAAGCTGTTAATGACAAGTTTTACTTTTTTGATGGAGCTTAGCAAGTACTTCTGAGAGTCCCTATGACACAAGAGGTTGTTTGCAACTGTAATACACAGAAAGATGTGTGTGCTATAAGTTGTAATACAGTTAGCTCATACCCCCAATGTGTAGAAAATGAACATCAGCTGCTTTAAACTTAGTTTAAAGCTTCCTGGCACTGCTTAAGGTTCTTATATGGAAGGTCTTTCTCCTTTGCTGTTAATACTCATGTTTGTTCTCCCTCCCTCTCCACCTCTTTCTCTTTTTGCAGGCAAAGGCAGCTCAAGCATCTCATCCGACGTGAGTTCAAGTACAGATCACACACCCACCAAAGCCCAGAAGAATGCAGCTACCAGTGAAGGTAGGCATATGGTATTCATTATGAAGGCCTCCCAGCATAATGCTAGCTCTTTCCAGAAAAGGAATCCCTCCTCCTCCTCGTTTCTTCTTTGTACAGCATCATTGGCATACTAGAAATCGAGAAACAATTTTTCCCCTATGGATTTTCCACTTTTACCTGTTGCAGTTTTTCCTCTCGGCTTGAGACTAAGGGTCAAAGGGTTTAAGGCAATTCTGCAAAACATGAGTTAGAGTTCTGAATCATTTGCATGTGACTTTTTTCATCAGAGCTTTTTATTCCTAAGATTCAAGGTAATCTGATTTTAAACTTATTCATGAAGGGTTTTCTTAATGGACACTTCTTGGCATCAGTTGTAGGTAACCTTGACTTCATACTATGAACGCCATGAGAATCTGAGTTGTTTGTGTAGAAACATGTGCCAAGTTTCCAGAAGTGCAATTCTGGACATGAAGAGCTGACAAGGATTTAATTAGATTGATGCATCTCACCTGCAGTTACTAGACTATATGATCATCTGAGACTAGATGTTTAATGTCTAGGGGAAAGAAGTTTTATGTGTCAATATTAATATACTGTTGTATTCACTGGCCAATGAACAGAGGAGTGCTGCTCCTTCCCTGCTGCCTGATTATATGTGAGGAGGTGTATTCTGTTAAATGAAAATATATTGGCCTTGGTTTTTACAAGAGTGTCTTTGAAGGCGGAAAATTATTAAATTTAGTAGTAGGTAGTTTAATGATGTAAGCTGGAAGATTTTTATTTTTTCTTAATGGTGCATTTATGCCTTAGCTAGCATTTCTGCACAACCCAGTCATTGGTCATTTGCAAATAATGATTCTGATTTCTTGCACTTCAGTCATTACAGATGAAATTACAACCTCTGACTGCTCTTGATCAGGTGTTATTTCTTGTAGATTGAAGAAACCATAGGGTTTGAATTGTTATAGTTTGGCAAGTCTGGTTATGACCATAGAATCTGTGTGGTAAAAACAGCTTATATATCTAATAAATGATCTCATAAATCATGAGAGTTTATTGTTATGCATGAATAATCCCATATCATGAAGGAAGATCTGATACCAGGGAATCAAGAGAAGTTCTGAATTAGAATCTCTGCTTTTTGGTCTGAACAACAAATTTAAAGGTAGATGAATAAATGATTAATGACTTCAAGTTGAATAGTAGACTTCATTTTTCTTTAAGTCTCAGATGAAAACATTTTAAGGTACCTGGGGACAAGAAGTAAATTTACAAAATGTATGAAAGAATCTTAACTCCTCTGTTTGACAGCCAGGAGCAAAGAAGAGGAGCAGTGGAAACTCTGAAGTCAGTCTTTGACAACAGCTTTGAATTTCTGTTTTTCCTCAGTCTGTAGAGCACAGGTTTTTATTTTTCAGATCAGATAATGCAAAATAATTGTTTTATTCGTTTCTTGGCTTTATGTTCTTAATCTAGTCCATTGCAGAGCCAGTGAAATACCAATGTTGACCTTGACATCTTCAGCACTGGTGTGCAGCTGAGTAACTCCTTAGTAAAAGGAAGCCAAAATGCAGACCAGCAGATGCTGTATATGAAGATATGTGTCCTGAGCTCTCATGGGGATTCAGAAAGATTCAGAGCCATTGAACTGTATATTTTATAATAGACGTGATTTTGGGTATGAATTTATTTTTGTGTCCTGGTGTGCTCTAGAAGGTCTGTTTTAGATGAACATATCCTTTGGCAGCAGCAGCAGTAGTCTCTTACTCAGTTGATGCTACTGCTGCTTTGCTACTAAGTTTTCCTGTTGAGACGTTTGTATTAATGCAGAACAGTTTATTGTAATTGCCATGAGAGGAGTTGCTGTGTAATGACAAACTTCTTAACTGACATAACTGGAGAAGGTAAGTAGAAGTTAGTAGAAATAAGTAGAAGTAGAAGATGAGTAGGGTGATGTGCTCGCAGAACTGAGCCCTTTCAAACTGTTCACTTGTCGAGTAGTGTCCAGGGAGCAGCTAAGAAAGGGAGCCTGGTTGTGTTAGATGTTGTACAAACAGTAACTGCTATTATGGCTTCTTACTGAAGTGTTTACATAACATTTTACAGCTGTTAGTTAATTCACCTTTAAAACACTCCATGCTCCAGTATTTGATATAGTAGTACCTGCCTGCTTCAAAAGCCTCTCATTACATCTTGAAAGAAAAATATATATTTATTTTATATTAAATATATATATATTTATATATATAAATTTATATATGTATGTGTATATATGTGTATATATATGTGTATATATATAAACTTTTCTGACCTGCATTTGCATGTGGAATTATCTTAATATAAAAGGGGTGGGTGCAACCTTTGCACTTGTTGAATTTCTAGTGACAGTTAAATTCCTGGGTGCCCAGCTCTGTGGAGAGCATAGGGAACCTCTGCTGAGGAAGCTTCCAGCCTCCCAAAATCCTGCTTTCCAGACTGACTTCCAGATTTGCAAGCAGATCTCACTCTTTCAGTTCTGTGCTATGTCGTGTCTTCTCTTTCTGTAAGGCCGTTGTCCCACCACTGTTGAAATTAGATCAGTAGTAAGTTTTTAAAGCACTAGCAGGGAAAGCTGTAGGAATGATTCCCTTAAGCAGCCTTATGGTATTCCATGGCAGAAAGGCTAAAAGATGGCCAAGAAGTGCAAAAAGACCCTTTTTCAAGTAGGGTCTTAAGCAGGACCCCCACTTAATAAGATGCATCAGATGCATCTCGCTGTGGGTATTAGCTTGGAATCCATATGAGTTAACTGGGAATTGTGGTTTAGATGTATGTACTGTACGCATTTTATTTGTGAGTTTTCGGATCTTTTTTTTTTTATTTCTTCATAAGATGGGTGGATTACAAGACTCCTTGACTATGTGCTTATGCAGTTTCCCTGGATAATGTTGTTGAGGCTATGGTAGTTACCTCTTCCAGGGGGAATTGGAGATATGGTTATGGCCAAGTATAGCAGTAGTGGTATTCTCAGAGTAAATAGTGAGCTTGGTTGGGGTTTCATCCCACACCTACTCAATGGGGGGCCAGCGTGGCTGCGTCTGTAGCACTGTTAGAGGAGGTTTTGTTTGAGAGAGCCAAAATTTTGCTTCTGAATGTGCCTGGGGAGACTTCAGAGAGCTTTCTTGTAGCACTTACCTGTGAAGCATGGAATGTTATGTCTGACCTGGATGCTGTGTAGGAGCTTGACTCTGGTTTTTAAATAACGCATCGATGTGGCTGGTACTCTGCATGCGTGCGACTGTTAAATGGTAATCTAGTATCAGCTTTAAATTGAGGCCTTGGGTATGAGTTCTAACTTATTTGCTAGTTTTTGTAAAATCACATTGAAGGCCTAGGCCAGAAGCAACATGCAGTTATAGCAAAACGGTTAACTGCCACAGTGGTCTCAAATGTATTCTGCAAAGCATTTGTATTTTTGATTTTGTGGAAATCCACTAAGGTTGGCTGCTGTATTCTGCAGAGGTTAAAATTATATCTGCTTATAGTGGTGCTGATGACTCTTAGGGACTTTGAAAAATAAGTATTAATCTACTTTTTTTTTAGTTTTCTCCTTCTGTGCCCTGAGTTTGAGTGTGTTATTTATTTTCACTATAAGATGTCAATATACCTTAAATTTGCTTGAAAATGATTATGTATGGAAAACAGGCTAATGAAGAGATAACAGCTTTTCACATGCTAGTGCTGACATGTATGTGTAGTGTGGAGACTGAATGTTTTGGCACTGCCTCTTCATACCCATTTTGACAGAAGAACCTTCTTTCTGAAGGTGAGGTCTGGGTAGATGCTAGGAAAGTAGCCAGTCATAGTTGTAAAAGCTACTCATTCATTAGGAATCCTTTCCTCTATTAAATAACGTACCTTGTGGTCAATGATATGAAAATGTAGGGGGTTGTGAATGTAGAATGCTTCTACTGTTCTTGTAAGGGTGTTGCCTCATAACCTGTGTTCAGTGACACTTAGCTAAACCCAGTCCTCAGCATCCTTTTCTGGTGGATCCTTGTCCCCAAAACTTACCAAAGAAGGCAATGGTTTCTTATTTTTGCTCTCTATCCACTAGCCTCTCTACATGCAATCAATTCCAGAGAAGGATGGCTGTGAATTAGGAGCTATCCTTGCCTATGTACTAATTTTCATTCTACTTTGTCCCCATTTGCTTTAAGTCCATCAAAACAAAATCAGATGTTGGAGTTCCAGCTAGCCTGAGGCTTCCAGCGTATTGGAGTTGAAACTAGTTTCAAGTTTTATGAGTCTGAGCAATCAGTAAGACTTCTGCTATTAGGAATGTAGAAGTACAGGTGTTCACTGATGTGTCTTTTAATTACAGAAATGCCAGCTACTCAAGTAGCTGAAATTGGTTTTATATTAAATTTAACAAAAAGAAAAGTGTACTTGGCTCAGCTTTTGTAACAGGAGTTAGTGTCTGTTCATATAATAGAAAGTCTTACATGCACTTTGGCTGTGCTCTTGTAATCATTGCTTACAAAAGTAATTTTTGAGTGACTTTTATAAGTGAGACTTTACTTCTACTGCATTTCTTTATTCTATGGGTCTTAAGTTTATTAGAATGACTAATATCTTACTGGCAAAACTGGGACCGCAGTGTTTGGTTTTGGAAAGACAGTTTGAACTTCATCAATATGTGAAATTTCTCAAAGCAGCAGTTTTGCATCCTGCTTATTTCCTCAGACTGAAAAGGAGATATCTACATTTCTGGTTTTCATGTTCAGAAACATAAAAAATAAACTATAACTTGACCATCTGAGGAGTTTCTTTTTCTGTAGAGAAGTGAGATATATGTCAGAAAACTTTTGTGGTGGTTTTACAGGATAAATGGGGTAAGTAGCAGTACTTGAATGCAGAAAGATTTATTTGGGTTGCTTGCTTTTCATGTCACCTTAAAAGTAAGTAAGACACGTCCCTGGGCTTGAGAAAAGGAATCTTTGCACTGAGCCAAAAGATAGGCTGCTAAAAACCTGGAAATA